GAGGGGTCCCTCAGGGCCCCTCAGGACCTGCCAGCTTAATTAAAAAGTCACGGAGCTCATTAGTGTCGGGGAGGTTGTGGTGGTTGGTGAGAGTGATTTGTGATCCAATACTGCTGTGTCAGCTGGGCTATGGCACTGAGTGGTGCCTCCAGTGTTTCCTCCAACACCTCAGGGTGCAACGGTAACTCCAGGGACGGTAGCTCCACCTCCAGCTTGGCAGCCTGTTCCAATGTCCAAGAAAGAATTCTCCTTTAAGTGAAAAAATTCTTCGTAGTGTCCAACCCGAGCCTCTCCTGGTGCAGCTTGAGGCCTGTGCCTTGTTCCCTGGGAGCAGGGCCCGACCTTACCTGGAAGCGCTTCGTTAGCGGTGGATGTGCTGGTATACATAGCTGACAAGGAAAGTCAAGGTGTGTTTGGCCTGTTTACAGATGGGAAGGGGAAGATGAGGGCCTGGCTCTTCCCTGGGCACTGTCAGTGCTCATAAAACCAGGGGTACAATGGCACTGTGGGCTTGCAACAGAAGAAAATGCTCCTGGCCTTGGTCTAAACTACTCCAAGTGCAGAGCCAAGCTGAAGATGTCACTGCTCTCCAATCCACTGTATCAGGGGAAAAACATTTCCATGATCTTTCCCTTCCAAGTACAATCTCTTTATTTGTACGACACTCAAATGGCAACACAAACTTCTCTGGTGGAGTCCAGCTACAATCGTGGAACCATCCAGCAAAAACACAGCTCACAAAAGTGCCAGCTGAGAAAGCTCTTGTTGCTTACAACTTCAATTGCACCCAAGAGCTACCAGTACACACCCTACTGCCTGCACTTTGCTTCTCAGCTCTATGAACCATCATAATCCTTCAGTCTCAGAGAGCCAGGATGCAACACCAGTGACTGCTCACACACTAAAGGTACTAGGACAGAAAGCTCAACAACCTGGCTTTTGCATTCCCACCGTAAGCTCTAACCAACAGAACTGCCTGTTAGGAAAAGCCATTAAATGTCACCAAGACCACCCAATCTACAGATCCAAAATTGGTTTCTTTGCCAAAGAGAAGAACTATAAACCTGTCTCAAAAGAAATTAGATCCCCTTCACCAGAATGAGCAACACCCAAGAAATGAGCCCCTACAAAGGTGCCAGAAAACTGTCATTGGGCATTACCTGCCCAGGGCACTCTTACCTGCTGCACACCAGTCCTGAGAGTAGCTGCTTACCTTATCTGAAATAAGTGCACTGCCAAAATTTCAGAAGGCCATCTCAGAGAAGTGGGAAACACATGCCAAATTGAACAGTGTGAGGAGCAGTTCTTTGGGTACAGCTGAAGTAAGGAAGCACCAGTATTCTCAGCTGACACTTCTGTGAGCTTTGCTTTTGCCGGGTGGTTTCAATTTTGTAGCCGAGATCTGCGAGAATGAAAAAATGTATTAGCATAAAGGAGTTTGTGTTGCCATATAAGTGGGAGGTAAATAATAGTTTTTACTCGGGAAGGCAGCGAAATCCTTTTGTCCTGAAAGCTGATTTGAGCGCAGTGGCGATTTCAACCTTGACCTGTATTTTTGGTACTTTAAGATAGGCGAGGTGCATTTTCTTCTTTTGCGAGTCCACACCGCCATCGCGTGGTTCATCTTCTCTCAGTGCCCAGGGAAAAGCCGAGCGCTCTTCTGTGCCGGCTCCATTCGTGTGAGGGCAGTCAGTGTAGGAGTTGTGTTGTGGATGCTTTCTTCGAGACTGAAAGCATGTGATCCTGCATAGAAGGGAGGGACGTGTGATTCTGTATGCGAAAGAATTCGAATTGTTTCACCGTTGGCTGGGCAGTTTTTAAGGCTGCAAAGGGAAAGTGAATTCCAGCCCTGCCTCTTTGTTCTAGAACTTCTCCTTGGGAGCAGCTGCTGAACGTTCTTAAATTTGTAACTGGACTCTATGAGACTGATGAGTGCATGGGGGTCCCCAGAGCTGTGTGCACAGACCTGGGTGTGCTGCACTTCAAAAGTGGGGACAAAGTGGAGGCCAGTGCTTACTTTTTGACTAGGAGCTTTGGATTGAGAACAATAGCTGGACATAGCAGGTTTTGAAGGTGGGCTCTGCAAGAGTGAAGGAATGTGATGGTCCATGGGCATAAATCCACGGTGTGTGTTGCTTTTTACAAGATGTGAGTTAAAAACAACAGCCTCCTGAGCGGGCACCTTTTGTGACCAATAGTTCCACTTGATATGGTTTAGGTTCAGGAACTCCGCGTGATCGAAAGAAAGAATGGGGTAGTCCATTTAGTTTGAAAGGAAAACTCCTAGCCCCTGTTCGCAGGATGATGTTGATAGCCTTCAAAGGGAATGTGAAACTGAGCAGCTGTTTTCTCCTCTTTTGTTTCCAGATTAAAATGATGCAGTTGGGCTCAGCGATAGAGCCAAAGTGTCAAGGTACATGCAGCTGAAAAAAAAGGAGCATAATACGAATGTGTGTTGTGCGGTTTAAAGCTGAGCAGGAAAAGGGACACCCAGCACTGTCTCTTTTATTCCAGGTTCTTTTCTTCAAGGCAGCTGACGATCCTGGAGGTCTTTAGGCGAAATTGAAAAGATAGGATTCCACATGCAGCTTAGAAGAAACTTAGCTTCCATTTGAAACCCTAATGAGACCCTAAGTATGGAAATCAAGTGGCACTCTGACTTCATGTTCTAGGGAAAGAAACAGTTGCTAGCCAACCCCTCCTTCTCGCAGCTTTCCAACTGCACACCTCACTATCGGTTTACATGCATTCCTTCTCAAGTTTCTTTCACTCTTTTCTAAATTCTTTCCTAAATTCTCTGTAATAGTTTTCCCCAAAACATTTGCATTTCACCTCTCCTCATCTGTGTTGGTGTCAAAATCTTTCAGAATCTCTCAGGAGGTTGCAGATCTCAGTGACAACAAAGCTTGCAATACCTTTAGTAAATGTGGCTTTTCCTCTTTTCCTTTTTACTATAGCCCACAAGAAGAGTATTAAAATAGAACTAGAAGAAAGGCAAAGAATTAACAGCATTCTTTTTGCTTGTCTTAGCCTCTCTGCAGTGGAATACAAAGGTGTTAAGGCCATAACTCCTGTTCCTGCTTTTGCTTAGTTTGAGATATCTATGTGACATGAAAAGATAGATAATAGGGACTTTGAAAAGAGATCTAGATTTTGTTTTGGTTTTTTGTTTTTGTTGTGGGAGCTGCACTTCTCATCTTTTCTGATCAGAAACCTCTTTTTAAAATTCTTAAATACCATCTGGTTTCTGTTCCATCTCATATAGTGATGGTTTGTTTTATCTAGTTTCTTGTGGTGCAGAGGAACTTTCAATTTGTCTAGTAAAATATATATATATATATATATAAAAATCACTATCTTTATCTAGGCAGATATTTAAGTCTTCAATTCTATTTCTCTGTAATTATACAGAGAGAGTAAACTCAATTCCTTAAGGCTTCACTATGGTCTGAAACCTTTCCTACAGAGTTCTTGATGGAGGACATTTTGTCCCCCTTTATAACTCCTGTACTGCTGAGTGTCCTAATAGACTGTCTGGATCTTAAAAAGAATTTCAGCACAGTATTAAAAGCAATGAAAAAAAGAAGCAATAGTATAAACTTGGCTAACAGGCACCCAAAACCCCTGTGAAGTCACAGTAATTTTGTCTGTGCTGTTAGAAGCAACTTTGTTTCAAAATTGGCTTTTACAAAGACATTTCCAACATTACTCTTGAGAATACAAGGAAAAATTGCTGCTAGCTCTTGAGATTGTAATCTTGTTTGATTTTTTTTTTTAAAAAAAAGATACTTAAATTTCACTAGATGGCAATATCAGCAAGAGGAGGGCTTGTAGCAAGTCACATCTTTTCCTTTTTATGTAAACATAAAATTATGTGTCTTTAATGGTGCAAAAGGTAACTTTCTATTTTGGAAGACAAATCAACTCAGTGGAGGTATTTTGCCATAATGTCTGGTTTGCTCTGGAGATGGTTTGGATACTGTGAAGTCTGGAAAAGATCAGTGTAAAAACAAGTAGAATCCTGAGATTTGTGTCTTTTCCTCCAGAAATATTTCTCTCCTGAGCACCCACCTGACAGCCTTTGCTTTGAGCCCTTTTGCAGGGACAGGATCCAAGCTGCACTTTCTCACTTTTCCCCCAGAGTCTCCTGTCTTACAGCAGGCATGTCACAGTCAGAAGAATGTTTCTGCATTTCCATAAGGACAGAAATAATGATTATAGCATTTATGGAACAGCTGCTGCCCAAGTTGCTCAAGTAAATGTTAAAAACAGTCTACTCTGTGCACTGAAAATCAGGCCCCCTCATGAAAGTGTGTGGTGAGAAATAATTCACAAGGAACCATGATTGTCTCCTACACATGATAGACTGAGCAGGCAGTCTGAGGGAAGAACAAAATCAAAAGAAATACCCTATGAAGAGAAAATATTCCTATTTCTTCAGCTGTTCACTCTGCTACTCAGGCAAAGATAAGGAGAAAACAATATTTCCTGCTATTTTTACACATACCTTGATCACAGGTATTCTTACTGAGGAGAACAGTGCTTTCCTAGGACCAGAGACAAACTGATAACTAGTAAGAATCAGAATAAACAGGAAAATATCAGGAACTGCTCTTAATGCTTTAAGCATCCTCTTTAATTGATTCTTTCTTTGCAGGATGGTAAATATTAACAATAAAATCCTGAGGTTGCTGTTTTCTTGCACTGACAGATACCACCAGGTCTTTCAAGAAGTGTTTACTTACATCCATGAAGGCTTCTTAGTACATTGTGCAACTGCAGTGCACAACGAACACTTCCTCAACAAGCAACTTAATTGTCCCCCCCCCCCCCCC